TAGTAAGTCTCCAGAATAGATCATCAAGATTGGAAAAATCGAAGTCATCCTAAATTTTTATCGCAAAAGGACATTCGAAGTAATATGATTGATTGTCTCTACCGCTCAATATACAATTATACATATGTGTTCGGATTGAAACTGCGGTTGATAGTTGGTATATGAATAAGCCAATTTCCATTATGAATATATTGTGCTCTTAAGGTTTCTATCAAATTATATCATATGTAACCATTTACATTAATACCAAATTTTATATACATTTTTTTTGACGTACTAAATTTTATATACATAAGCGAGTAGACCAAATTCGATTTGCTTTTTTTCTCCTTTTAAATAGAAAGTGAAATTATTAATTAAAAAAACAGTTCTGATGATAATACTATCTATTTTTTTTTTTGTACTTGTCAAAGCATTTAACCAAGTCTGAGCTCTAAGCCAACCTCGTTGGTATCGACTTGATCATCATCAAACCCAAGATTCGAGCTTTGATTAAATGGAGCTAATTCCTTTCGACTTTCCACGGTCTCCAACGTGAACTGGCCATAGCCAAGAGTAGCAACAGGACTCTGGATTTGCCACGTGTCATGACTACATTCACCTAATTGGTTCACGGATTCAGCGAGGCGTTTGAGTCGGCCAGTTTGTGTTTTGGTCTTGTTACCGTTAACACGTGGGGTCAGACCATCCGAACTCTCGCCGCCGGTTGTTGGATCTTTCGCCACGTGGCGTATGTCGTAAGTCCTGTGAGGATGAACGATCTGGTGCGACGCGGTTGCACTGGGAAGAGGTGTGTGAGTAATGGGTAAGCCGTTGAGTACGGCATCAACGGCTGCTTGGCACTGTGCCCAGTTCCCCGACCACATCAAACCCACCGAACCATCCACAGGGTTCACGATCCGACCACATGCCTCGTACAGAAGTGACCTAAATATTGCTACAAAATACAATAAAGGTTATGGAATCAACCCGGAAAATAGAAAGCAAATGTCCCTATAGTTTAAAGTGATGTGTGTGTGTGCATGTAAGAGGTTTGTGGTAGAGTCTATAATCAACATTTAAATCCCTGCTTGATATCCTGTTACCAAATCAGTCATAATCTCAAATACATTTGTACGTAACTATCGGTGATATTTATTCACAAGCAAATTCGATGGACCGTTTCTAAAAAGAGAAAAAAATAAAAATAATTCAATGTAATGTTAAGAAGGAAATCATTCGCTTTCAATGTGTTACCGGGACGAAGGTGGTCAGGACCGGATTCGATGAGGTTGAGGAGACCGGCTCGACCATAGAACTTAGCTAGGAAGAGTGTAGCATTGGCTTGGGAATCTGCGGATTTGATCCATTGAAGGCATGGTCTTATGGTGCAATCTTGGTTGCAACCCTTGCGTAGGACCCTACAACCATTGCAGCTGATTCTCATCTTCGTTTTTATGATTTATAAGTGATATTTATATGTATGATGTGTTTTGTGTGTTTTTCTTGTTCAGAAGTGAAGCTCAAAGAAGCTGTGGACAATATGAATTTATAAGGAAGAAGTAACTAATGAGTCATAAAAGTGAGTTGGTATTTTTTCATCTTTTGCGTTTCTTGGAGAAAGTGGTGGAAAAAAACTTGTGCAGTCCATGCTTTATGAAGTTTATTAAAACAAATAAACTCAACATAATTACTTTCTCGATAAATAATATTTTTATAATCAAAAAGATCTGTACTTTTACTTATAAGTTTTCATTTTTATTTACTGGTTTAGTGTGAAAAGATAAAAGAAAAGGCCAAGAAATGAGGGGAAGGAGGTTGTGTGTTTCAGTGAAGTTGGCATTATGTTTTGGCAAAAGTTGGGGAGTTCCTTCTTCGGGAATGCCAATTTTTTCTTTCTCTCCCAGTTTTTCCTTCTTTGGGATTTGCCCTCCATGCATTCCAATATTACGATTCTTACCATCTACCTTTAACTATATTTGTAATTACTTCTTTAATGATCCTATCTCAATCCTCATCATATCATTGTTGGTTTCAACAAGTCCTAATGCGATGCCAGCTAATTTCGAAATTGAAATTAAAGGAAAAGGAAGAGATAGAAAATGTGACGGGCACTAAAATGTTTACACCACTTGAATTTAGGTTTCAAATGCTTAATCCATGGTGAATTTAGGGAAAATTTCTATCAACGGGAATGTTTTTGTCAGCATTAACTCTTAGTTTCGAATTTGAATAGTCGGGACGGATGGATA